TATCCAGGTGAGGACTGGAGATAACTCAGAATTACAACTGCTCTTCAGATGGCAGTTGTAATATCTTCAGTGTGAAGTGATAGATAAAAACACGAGCTTGCGCCAGTGTATCCATTCTGATTCAAGTGTTGCAAAAGAAATTATGACAGGAGGCAGTTTTTCCATCACCAGCTGCTTGTGTTTTTACTGTCTTTGTGAAACTGCATCATCTTAGCCTGTGTGATGAAGTATTGTGCATGATGCTTTTGGCATGTATCACAGCATGTGCAGGTCATCGATCTATTTCTGACCTTGCCTGAGTTGGTGCAGAAAGGAAATTATTTTTGTCAACTTCTACTTTCTGTCTCACTTCCCTGTATATGTTGTGAAAAATTCTGCTTTCTAGGCAAGCAGGCTGCAGCATCTCATTCTCCATTCCACCATCTGTGGAATAATTAACTTTTTTGACTTAATTGGAAAATCAAGAGGCATTAGAACGGCTTCATTTATTTCCCACCGCATCACTGGTCATCAAGTCCATCTGGCTAGAGACATATTTTAGTGATCTAGTTGAGCAGGCAACTTGTAGCATCTTTTCAGAAAAGCACTGGACCTCAGCAGTCACCGCAGCTGAGCGGAGTGACTCTGTCCCCCCAGTGAATCTGATGGCACCGTGGATCATCGCTCCTTGAGGAAGTGCCACACCCATGAGTCTTATTTCAGATTTTGCAAGAAAGAGATCTATATTAGGTCAACCAGAATATTTGTTTTTATTTATTTAAAACATTTTATGCCGCCTCTCCACCCAAATACGGCCCCCAAGATGGTGAACATGAAAACATTAAAATGTTTGAATGTAAAAACAGCCTTTAAAATAATATACGCACAACACCGAGGGCCAGTAACTGTTACTGGCGGTATGCCAAATGAAGCAAAAAAGCCTTCACCCACTGGCGGAAAACAACGGTCGAGGGAGACAGACGAATCTTGCTGGGGAAGAAGTCCCAGAGTTTTGGCGTCCCAAACAAGACGGCCCATACGTCATGCTAGTCTTTTTCCATAGCTCAGGTGCAACTAAAGACTAAGTGGGAGATGTATGACTGTGTCTCCCAGTCAGGGCAGGCATCACGGGTAGCCCCCGGTGAGAGCTGCTGGAGGGAAGGAGGGAGCCTGAGACAATCGTCTGAAGGGGGGGCAGGGGTCGGTCGCCTCCTTCCCAGGTTCCCCTCTCCCCAGCTGCCCCCTTGCAATCTGCCTTTGGGTGCTGCGTGCTTGGGAGGAAGGACGTGGGGAGTCTTTGCTGCCGCCTGTCAGAGGAGAAGTACACAGAGACAAAAAGAGATTTACTTGCAGCGTGTTCACCTGTTACTCATGACTGAGAAATGCACCCGTGCAATGCACCATAACCAGGAATGAGTGGATTCCCTCAGAGTTCCCCTTTAATACACTATCATTACATCATGGCTTGAATTCGGTCCGTGTTCTCTTCTGCTTAAAAAAAAAAAGAAAGAAAATTTGGGCAAATGGATAATGAATTTTATGCAAGGGAAAAGTTTGTTCTGCAGAGATTCGTAAATATATTTTGAACATGAAGGAAATCAGTTCTATTTAAGTTTGTCATTGTTCCATATAAGTGCAACAGAACTGAACTGAAGAACTGAACAACAGGATTGAATTGAGCAACATAAGAACAAAATAAATCCTTCAGTCCAAACTCTTTGTGTGCTGCTTTCCCCCCAACTAGTTTTGAATGGATATCTATTATTTTTATGTTGCAGAAGAGTGCAGTTGAACTCTTTTCACACATAATAAGAAAACAGAACCCCTTTTAAAACCAGTGCTTTGTGTGCTTAAACAAAAATGTGTACCTTTTACCACACAAAGGCTTTGCTTTGAAGGGGTTTCTGTTACGTTGGTTTGTTTTTGTGTTGCAGATTGTAATTGCACTCTTCTGCAGTATGGAAACAAGCACACACGCACAAAAATAAACCTTTTCAAAACTGTTTATGTGCTGAAACACTGGGTTGCAGGGCTGCCAAGAGCCATCACAAGCCCCCCCCCCCAACAAAGATTCCATCCGGTCCAAACCAAATTTTTGTTGTTCAGTCGCACAGTCAAGTCCGACTCTTCGTGACCCCATGGACCAGATCACACCAGGCCTTCCTGTCTTCCGCCGTCCTCTGACGTTTGCTCAATTTCATGTTCGTTGCATCTATGACACTGTCTAACCATCTCATCCTTTGCCGTCCCCGTCTTCTTTGACCTTCAATCTTTTCCAGCATCAGGGTCTTCTCCAGGGAGTGCTCCCTTCTCATTTGGTGGCCAAAGTATTTGAGCTTCAGTTTCATTATCTTGCCTTCCAGGGAACAGTCAGGGTTGATTTCTTTTAGGATTGACTGATTTGATCTTGCAGTCCAAGGGACTCTCAAGAGTCTTCTCCAGCACCATAGTTCAAAAGTTCATAATGTGACCATAGCCTAAGTTTGGTCATTTTAGCTTCTAGGCAGAGTTCAGTCTTGATTTGATCTAGAACCCACTTATTTGTGCATTTGGTGGTCCACAGTATCCATAAAATTCTCTTCCAACACCACATTTCAAAGGAGTCAACTTTCATCCTGTCAGCTTTCACACCCACACATAGCAGTGGGGAATACTATGGCATGAATTATCCTGATCTTGGTCGCCAGCAACACATCCTTTCCCCCCCCTGGCTCCTTCAAGACTGCCCTCCCAGTCTCAATTTCTTCCTAATCTCTTGGTTGTAGTCTCTATTTTTTTTGTTGATGATGAAGCCAAAGAATAGAAAATCTTGCACAATTTGAGTTTCTTCATCATCAGCATGAAAGCTACGTTTGCCAGATGGGAGATTCTGTGGACAGATCTGTTTGCTACTTTCCTCAATGCAAAGCGCAACAAATTTCGCTTCAAGGCAGGGAGAAAGTCCTCTTCCCTTTAGGATGTGTTCCAGATCTCCTGGGAAAATGTTCTTCTACCCATTTCCCCCTCTTCCTCTCACTACCTGGACCCCCCAGGAAAAGGTTGAAGGACAGGAGCTCGGCCATCCTCGTTACCCCCATACTGGCCAAGAAAGAGTCAGTCTATCACCCTCATGCAAATGGCTCACAACAGGACCCAACAAAGCAACCTCTGACACCACAACGCCCCCCCCCAACCCTAAAACTCACAGCATGGCTGAGCCTCCCTTTCTCCTAATATTCCCTGACCAGTCAGAGTGGGGGAGGTTCTCTCTCTGGTCAGCTGTGTTAGGGATTGACCCATCTGATTGTCCTTTATCATCTCTCCTAGAATACCTGCTGAATCCGAAAGGGAAAGGTCTAGCTAATTCATCAATAAAGGTTCGTCCTGCGGGCATTTTTTCCTTTCACATCACTATAAAAGGGACTGCACAGAAGATATGATGATGGAAACAAGATTGCACTTACTGTTGTTCCATCTAGTGGTCATCACACAGGTCACTTCCTCCTTCCCCATGGTGAGCTCTTAGCCTACTCTAGCTCCTTCTCCTCTATGAACTGAGGGAGGGAGGCACTCTTCCTCTTTTGTACGCCTGGTGGGTGGGAAAACACCGTGAAAAAGGTGAGAGAAAGTTCCACGCTGTCAGGAGCTTTAGAACATCCACAGTTAGTTAACCTGCGCATGCTCAGTTCCCATCCGTGCCTGCATGGAGGACCATTCGATGAGAAACAGTTATGGTAAGCACGACCTTGTTTTCCGCATGTCGTCCAACCCTAAAGAGTGACTTTGGGGGAGATTCAGGAGCCTGCAGCAGGGAAATCCATTTCATTGTGCTATTCAAGAGGCTTTGATCCGGTGCTGCTTAAGAGGGATGCTTTGGCATCCAGATTTATTTTTTGGAGCATCCACGGAACGTTGTGCACCAGTCATCCATGCCCCAACCTCAGCATGCTATTTCTCAAACCTGCTTTGCTACAGTCTTTTTGGAAAGAGAGAAGTCCAAGCATGTAGCCACGCCATGCAGATAGGAAGATGCATATTTCCAAAGGCCTCACCCATTCTGGCATTAGTTTCTTCCTGTCAGCCCTTCACAGCCCCTGTTTTTCCTCCTGCACAACTGGAGAGCTTTTTAATGGTTTTGGAGATAAAAATGAACTAATTACCATAGTGTTTGTGCAATACCATTGAGCGTTTTCTTTAAAGCGCTCCAAGAAGCCCTCTGGTGGCATGGCCCCAGGGAAGACAGGGGGAAATGGTGTCTGACAGGAGAAAGCGTGCCAAAAACTTCCTGGGGATGCTCCTGTGCCAGCACTGGTGCTTCTACATTCACGGCAGCAATGCTGACCAAACAGAGAATCCTCACCATGCGGATGCATCCCACCCCCATGTCTGTGAACCCATTGGTTGAATGGGATGAACCTAGTGCCCTTAATTCATCTTTTTTTTTAGTGCAGATGATACACTACAGAGTAATAAATTGATTTTTTTAAACGAGAGGTTCTCTCCTCGAATATGAGCTCCGAAAGGGGGAGGGCATGGTAGCAAGGGATGGGCGTAAGCAAATGCAATGACACATATTTAGACTTGATATGAGGACTAAGGGGTTAAACCAAAGGATTAATTTCTAAGCCAGAAATACACGGTAACAAGCAGAAAACTGGCGCTTTGAGAGGGTCTCAGTATAATTGCTAGTTCTGTTATCACTCATGGCCCCTAAATACTGGGCTTCCTTCTGATAGAATGCTTAATCTTTAAAAGCTACAAAGAACATTGATTCTTCTGCTGAAAAGGTCGGCGTTTCTAGGACTGTGGCCTTCACCCAGTAGATTAATACTTCCCATGAGTTGTGTAATCTGTTATCATTGCAGGGGGTTTGAATGATTGTTTTATACAGAGTTTCTTTGCGAAGAGGATTTGGCTGTTGTTGCAGTGGAACAGCAAGTACTGAACAGTTAACTCAACGGTGGCTATACGAACCAAGCAGAACTATGCCAAGCAACCTGCAATTGACTCGTTCGTACTGTTAAAATTGTCTCCTATCTTAGGGTGGCAACTCTGTCTACACCGCAATGGATTTCAAGGTGATTAAGAAACCGAGGCCCTTTGCTTGAGCACCGTGGGCATTTGTGTGTGACTGCTTCTATGTGAAGCAATAAAGAGTAAAAAAAACAAAAGCCTCATGCAGGGAGATCTAGGCCTCCACAGTCCAAGGATCAGTTATGGCAGACCAGCTTTGCTAAAAGAAAACTAAGAACATAAGAACATAAGAGATGCCAATGTTGGATCAGGCCAAAGGCCCATCCAGTCCAACACTCTGTATCACACAGTGGCCAGAAATACCAGTGCCATCAGGAGCTCCACCAGTGGGGCCAGGAAACTAGAAGCCCTCCCACTGTTGACCCCCCCACCACCACCAAGAAGACAGAGCATCACTTGCCCAAGAGCCCCTATCTATACCTTGTGGCTAATAACCACTGATGGACCTCTGCTCCACATGTTTATCCAATTCCCTCTTGAAGCCGTCCATGCTTGTAGCTGCCACCACTTCCTGTGGCAGTGAATCCCATGTGTGAATCACTCTTTGGGTGAAGAAGTACTTCCTTCTATCCGTTCTAACCCAACCGCTCAGCAATTTCATGGAGTGCCCACGAGTTCTGGTATTGTGAGAAAGGGAGAAAAGTACCTCTTTCTCTACCTGTTCTTTCCCATGCATAATCTTGTAAACCTCAGTCATGTCACCCCTCAGTCGTCGTTTCTCCAAGCTAAAGAGCCCTAAGCGCCTTAACCTTTCCTCATAGGGAAAGTGTTCCAACCCTTTTATCATTCGAGTCCAACATGGCCAGTCTTCTGTGAAATGTGCCGTTTTGAGAGAGTGGTTGAGAGCCCCCTCTCAGTTCATGTGGATTTGTTTGTTTTTATCTAAATTATTGCACCCTGCTTTTTCCTTGTCTGCCTTTTGTGAACCAAGTATGGGTGCTAGCCCAATGTGCAGAGAGGTTCCCTGGAAAGTATCCCAAGTCTATTGACAGACACATCAATGAGGAAAGAATTCCCTGAATGCAGGAAAGTTGAAAGCCATTGCCGTTGCCTATCCCAGGATGAAAAGAGGGGCTGCGGATGCCTGATCCTGCCAAAGGTTGTTTTAATGTCATATGTGCCTTTTACTGGAACTGCTCCTTGAGGAGGGGAATTAATGACAGGAAGGGTTCCAGAAAGGGGTAATGCAAGATCTTTCTGAGACGCCCCAAGTTCCAGGCCCCCCTGGCACTTTGGCTCTAAAAGGGGGTGTCTGTTAAAAAACAACTACGTCCAAAAGAAGAGGGGAGGAGGGACCTTCTTTCTGAGGGGTCTCTGCTGGAAGAGGGAGGAGGGTCCCTACAGGGACTTTGGAACTCCTAACCAAATCAAAAGCTGAAGTTGAGTTCATGGTAGTTATCTTAAGACAATAGTAGCATGTAAACATCTCTTCAGAAGAGTGGCTAAAAAAATTCATGCACATGTTCACAAGAATCCCAGGTAGCTTAACTAAACATGCTTAGAGTTTCTGCCCTCAGTCTGTCTACTGAATATATTGACCATCAGTCCAGCTCTCCAAAATGCAGCTATCTTTTTCTTTGTAAAGAAAGTAACCAGGCGAATGAGACACACAATATTTAGCCGCCTGCTCACTCACACACAGAAATCATTTGGCGCACATTAGTGGCCTGGGAAAAAAATCCTCTCTATTTGCAAAATCTTCCCCACTTAGTCTGCTATTGACTATTATTACCAGAGGCAGTCAGCTAGGTTTTTACAGTGTCACATTACCAGTTCATATATTACAAAGCACAGAGATATACAGTTGGGACTCAGACGATCCTGGTGCCTCCCTTAAGTCTGATTCACCTTAAACTCTAGATTGTGATTCTGCTCCCTTGTGTTCTGCTGCTACTATTGATGATCCAAGGGTGTCTTAAATATCTCAGCCAGAGGAAGCCAAGATACTGTTGTGGGGTGAGGCAGGCATACAATGTCCCCTTGACTTGTTTGCAAACGGGGGACGAAGGGTCTTCTCCTTTTTAAACTTGTGTTCACGGCAAACAATGGAATGGACTCATTTGCTTGGCGTAGCTCGTCTTTGCAGGGCCTTCAAGTGGGTGTAATCACACCCAGCCGTGCCCACCCATAAGGGTTAGGGTTAGGAACTTGCCCCAGCCCAGCACCACCACGGGGTTCTTGTTAAAGTCCCGTAGCCGGAAACCCCGTGACTTTTGTAGCGGTGGTTCCCCCTGTGGACACAGCGAGTGGAGCGTATCCGTGGATACGATGGAGTAGGTCGACCTGGTGTCGATCTCCATGGTGCAGGGGGCTCCCTCTATGAGGACCGTCACATGCATTTTGTTAGGGCCGTCGGGGGGCAAGTTACAGACCTGGTATTGCGGGAAGTGGGACGACACCGTGTGGAGCTCGAAGGGCTGTTCCGCGGTGGTCTGGTGCGTTGCCGATCTCGGGCGTTGTCCTGTGGATCGGCAGACCTTCGCAATGTGCCCAGCCTTGTTGCAGGAGCGGCAGAGCGCGTTCCGGAAACGGCACAACTTGCGCTCGTTGTCCTCTCCACAGCTGGCGCACAGGCTTGGAGTCGAGGCCTTGTTGGCCCTGGAGGACGGGTGTTTGGGTCATTGCGAAGTCCGCTGGTGGAGCTGGAGGACTTCCTCCTCGTCGTTGGCGGAGGCCTCCCGGACCGCTTTGTCCAGGTCGAGGTCGTCCTGGCTGACCAGTTTCCGCCAAAGTTTGGGCTCTCGCAGGCCCACCAGGAATTGGATAAGCAGGGTGTCCGCGAGGCTTGGGAAAGCGCAGTTAGTGGCCGCCCGCTGGAGCCCTGCCAGGAAGTCGTAGGCGGACTCGTCTGGCCCTTGTACCCTCGCGCAGAAGTCCATTGGCTCCGCGAATTTAGTGGGTTTAGGGGAGAGGTGATCCGTCAACGCCTTTGTCAGCACCGTGTAGGGTTCCTCGGCGGTCTTTTTGGGAGCGATGAGGTCCTTGAGGAGTAGGACTGTGTTCATGCCGCACAACTGTAGGAAGTAGTCCTTCTTCATACCGTCGTCCGTGATTTTCTGGCATTTGAAGTAGCTTTCCATGATCTCGAGCCAGGTCTCCCATTCGGTGGGGCGGGAGCGATCGAAGGTGGAGATGTTGCTCTGGGGGGTCGCCATTGTGCTGTGACCTTGTGGTTGGGTAGGCTCAGGAACGGCGGTGGCTGGAGCGTTGAGAAGGGCGCTGCTGCTCTCGGGGTCAGCAGGGTGCACAGCGGAGCCGGGAGCGGAGCGATGAGCAGTAGCCGGAGAGCTGGGATGCGAAGCAGAGCGG